TGTAAGTCAATTTCTACCCCACTTCCTGTTAATTTCAAGTTATCCTCCAGTATGAGTCCTAGTAGTGAAAAAGAGAGGATGGAGATGTCTCGCGTACCGTATGCGTCGGCAGTGGGAAGCTTAATGTTCGCGATGATTTGTACAAGACTAGACATTGCATAAGCAGTGGGAGTGGTTAGTCGATACATGGCGAATCCTGGTAAAGAGCATTGTAATGCTGTAAAGAGGGTTCTAAGATATATTCAAGGAACCTCAAATGTTGCATTATGTTATGGGGAATCTGATTTTATTATCAGTGGATATGTTAATTCTAATTATGCAGGTGATCGTGATAATAGCAAATCTACAACAGGCTATGTGTTTGTACTTGCTGGCAGAGCTGTAAGTTGGGTTTTAAAACTGCAGTCAGTTGTGGCTACTTCAACAGAAGCAGAGTATGTAACAGCTACACAAGCTAGTAAAGAGGTGATGTGGTTGAAGATGGTGCTGGAAGAACTCGGCCATGAACAAAAGAAGATTTCTCTATTTTGTGACAGTCAGAGTGCTTTGCATTTGGCAAGAAATCCAGCCTTTCATTCAAAAACCAAACACATTCGAGTTCAGTACCACTTCGTTCGTGAGAAAGTGGAAGAAGGAACAATGGATATGCAGAAAATTCATACTAAAGACAACCTAGCTGATTTTTTAACAAAAGCAGTCAGTACTGATAAATTTACTTGTTGTCGATCCTCTTGTGGTCTGTCGGGGACGTAAGCAACATGAAGATGGTAAGATAGAAAGAATGATGTGAAGATATGATTGATGCTCAATCAAATCTTCAAGTGGAAGATTGTCAGGCGCCTACCATCACCGAAAGCACAGCCGCACATTTTTGACAAGAGCACCCACCTTTTGACAATTAAAAAAGAAAACAAAAGAGTGGGCCCCACAGTATAGTAATTTATTATTATTATATTATGCATAGTGTTTTTCCAAATCCTATAAATAGGCTCCAAATTCTTAAGGAAAAATTCATCCCAAAACAACTTCTTATATAGAAGAGTGAGAGAGAAAAAACAGAGAGAATTTCTCCTTGTAAAGAGAGAGAGTTTGTAACTCCAGAGTTTTTTCCTCATAGTGGATTCTTTTATCATTGCCCCTGGACGTAGGCAATCAAGTGCCGAACCACGTAAATCTGTGTGTCTAACTTTTTATCTCTACTTTTGCTCTACTATTGCTGCGATCCTGCTCTGGGTTTATCCCAACAAGAACCCTAATAACATGTCGGGGACGTAAGCCCCGGGTTTATCCCAACAAGAACCCTAATAACATGTCAAGCAATGAGACAAACTAACTGTTCATTCCAAATGTTGTTCTAAAAAAGTTCAGTAAAAAACTTCCCGTGTATGAGCATCATTCAACTGTTTAACAAAGTTTTGTTCTTCAAACCTATGGACAAATGTCTGCATGCAAGAATTCTAGGTTTAACGGTAAAAAGTTCAGCTATTTTCCCTCGTTTGAAAGATGATCTGCTCAATGGTTAAAAAATTATTGATCTGCTCATTTTCTCTTCAAAGCACTGGCTATTTTTATCACTTGTATACATGCTTATCTTATTCAGTCTCACTTATCCGACATTTTTGTTTAATTTGTTAGCTTGTTAGCTTGATTAAAAAAAATTATTGATCTGCTCATTTTCTTTGTAGGTTTTGGGCTCATATTATGATGGCATATGAATTACTCTTTTGTTGCTACGGATAGGGTTTATCATACAAGCACTTCTGAATCCTCAGTTGCAATTTCTTTACATCAAGGATACTTCTCTTCTCACATGTTATTCAGTTTGCAACTCTTTGTATTTTTTCTTATTAACATTTCTCTTGGTATATCACTCTTTGTATTTTTTCTTATTAACATTTCTCTTGGTATATCAAAGACCAAATTGACTATGTAATTGTCAATTATACCTGCATTTGAGAAGATAATGGAATTGTTACTTATTTGCTCTGATATCAACTTATTCTCACTTTGAATATGTATGAAATATGAAACAAGCCTCAAGTGTTTTCCAGCCTGGATATCTGTGAAATATGCAATGGTAATGTATTATTTAGATGTTTTTTTTTGTAAGATGCTTGATATGTTTGTAGAGTTTTCTTCATTTTCATTTTGTTGAAACTCTTGCAAGTTATGGTGGGCAATGAATTTGAAAACTTAGCAAATGTAGCTACCATTGCCAAAATTATCTAAATTTGTGTTTTTTGGTTACTATTTTACACATCTCCATTGCATTTGATGTAAACAAGATGGGTTAAGAGAATAATTTTTCATCAATTTTAAATTCAAATTCATGTATAATAAAGTACCCAGACACTAGATTTTGAAATCAAAGATTTCAAATCCTTTCATTTAATAAAGATATCCAAACAAAAGATTTCTTAAATCATGGATTTCAAATCCTAAATTTAAAATCATTTGATTTTAAATCAACTTCCCAAATCCAAATCAAAGTTCTCAAACGTAGCCTTAGGTTTTTTTAAGCAATATACGCCGAGATCAACAATATGACCAAGTGTGCATCTAAATTCGGTTGTGGCGGATGGGGATGTCGGTGTCTGAGAGAAAAAGGAGGAAGAGAGAGATAGGAGGAAGGAGATGGATTAGGTAAAAGAAGGAGAGGAGAGGAGAGGAGGAAGGAAGAGAACAAAGTGGAAGAGATAAGGGCATTTTAAGATTTTTTTTTTTCCCCTTGTCTATATGCTTAGTTGGCAGGGAATAATGACTGAATAAGAGCTAAATCACATAGACTTGGATTTTGGGGCTGAATCACATGAGAAAAATGTTAAAAGGGTTGGTCACAAGGAGTTCTTAAAATCAGCCTTGACACAAATTTTCCAAATATGTATATAGATTTCAGTTCAAAAAATGATAGTCAATGTAAACTGGAAAATTCAAGCAAAACCAAAGTGGAACTTACATGAAAATAAGACATGAAAACAAGATAACTTGTGCTAATCAATATCCCAACAAATAATTTAAATGCTATTTATAGCTAAACCATAAACAAGTAATTTAAACTGGAACCTACGCTCAAGAGCAACCAACAAGCTGCAGGAATTTTGGATATTATTCGACTTGACAATAACAGCCAACAGTTTTTGTACATCGTTCAAAATATAAGATACAATATCTAGCTATAATTAACATACCTGATACTGTATAGAAGCATAGCTGCTATCACCAACTTACAAGGCCAATTTATAAATTCGATTTCAGATACATTGAATGCTTGAACTTTTAACAAAAGCTGAGAGCAAAATGCATACCATGACACATGGGAATCATTTGCTATAAAGCATCTTCATGATAAAGATGAAGCCCCAAGCCAAGTCGTGCACAAGCTCGACGAAAAGCCATTGCTTCTGCCTTTTGTACTGGATCACCAAACCTTGTGTCTTCAACAGAAGCAGTTCCACTTGATTCCCTGTAAATCTGAATATTCCCAAAACCATAAGAACTTTCATCAGTTATATAAACTCTCAAATTAGAATTCCCTCAGAGATACTATAAATGTGGCTCATATATAATAAAAAATTGACAGGTCGCAGCATCTACAGGTGAAAAATATAACTGTTATACTGGAAAAAAAACCTGAGATAAAAGACAAGGGCTTGCAAGCATGTTGACATGAATGTATGTATGCACGCGTGAGAGTTTTGGTGTGTGTTTATGCGTGAAAATGTATGTGTGCATGTTCATGCGCACATGCAGGCATGTGCGATTTAAAATCCACAACTGATGGGAGGAAGGCTCAAGTTCTAAGAGAGTAATTGGGTGTGTTTGGCAACTCACTAAAATTGGGCCACACTTGTTCCTTAAACTGTTTTTGAAAAGAGAGTAAATTTATATCAAGAAAAAAGACTAGACAAGATGCCAAAAATAAAAGAGCTTAATTGACATATAAAATATCAAGGAATAGATTTTAATATTATCAAGAATCAGTTTGTGTCTGACATTTTTCTCAAAAAACTGTATTAGGCAAAAGAAAATTTCAAAAATAAACTTTCTTGCTATATAATAGACGGCATACTAGTTAACGGTGGTAGAGGATCTTCCTGATCAATAAGAAAATTTTAAGAGGAAATATTACAAGTGCCCAGTTGGATAGGTTTCTTCTAAGAATGAAGCAAATTTTAGAAGGAAAATTAGATATTAGACTTATGAATTTGTTTTTTGAGTGAGACTTCAAATAAATTATCTCTGCACCATGAACTGAAATAGGAACAACTCTAAGAGCTGGAATAACATCTATCTACCTCAAATCAAATTCAAAATACTGAGAAGACTAAGGAAGTATCTAAGGCGTGCTAGTTAATAGTGGTAGAGGATCTTCCTGATAAATAAGCAAAAGTTAAGAAGAAAATGTTACAAGTGCCCAGCTAGATAGTGTTTTTTGAGAACGAACCAAAGTTTAGAAGGAAAATTAGAGATTAAACTTATGATATATTTTTTAAATGAGAGATCAAATAAGTGAACTCTGCACCATGAACTGAATAAGAGATAGGAACAAGAGCTGAAATAACATCTACCTACCTCAAATCAAATTCGAAATACTGAGAAGAACAAAGAAGTATCTACGAAGCAAAGCTGAGCAACACCAAGGTGATTGTTAAATGAACTTTTACATGATGTGTGGACAAAATTAAAATTGATAGAAGTCGTCACCAGTCATTATTTTAATATTCTTAACAGAGTAATAAAAAATTAACAATGAGGTAAATTTTCAAAAAAAATTAAAGATAATACTGTCAACAGATCAAGTTATCAGTTGAAGCTTTGTATAATAAATATCCTATGAGTACTCTGTCCCTTATTGCAGTTTTCGAAAACCAGAATACTCCAGCAACTTTAACACAAACGTAATGTAATTATATGGATAAAAATGACACTATATTGCCAAAAAGAATATCCATCTTAACACAAAGGAATGAACAAGTGAGAAACATGCATGAAATATTACAGTTTCTACTTAGCATAGAAATCTCAGAAAACACTCATACTGAAATAAGTAGTACCTCTGCATCTGTCCCAAAAAGTGTAACACGATAAACTACTGTCACAGACTTTCCGTCAGCTGAATAAACTATGCTTCGGATCTCACCAGACCATTCTGTCACAATGAGAAATGATATTTCTATAATTAGTTTGTTATTAAAAATTTTGACTATTCAGCTAATATAAGAATATTGGACATACCTGGAGCATGCAAGTTCAAGATTCGGTTGACGATGTGCCTGTAAGCAGGAATTATGAGAAATCCAAAGGAAGCAACTAACTACAGCACATGTTTATATAATTAGTTTTCGATGCCATTCACTAAAGGAATTGTACATGCTAGAAAATCGTTCCATTGCATCTATCTTCAGTAAGACATAACAAATAGGAGCTAATGACAAAACCAATTTTTCTACAACCATACATGAAAATGCATTTTGGGCCTGCAATGACTAGCTTCCAGGTTTCAAAGGACACATAGAGCATCAAAGAATGTCCATACAGCCATCAGTTAACATTTTACAACATAGAGGGAACCTACAATATCAGATAAATAAATGAACAATCCACAAGCAGGGAAATTTCATAATTTAAAGAAGTTTAGATCAATTATAGAAATTATTCTACATAATTAAAACTAGTATTAGTATTTAGTAGTATCATGTTAGG